CCACAAGCTCATGTTATTGTAGTATTATTGTAGCATGAAATGCAACCTGTGCATGTTGTCGAGGCTCTCGAACCATGAGCCTGAAGTCGGTAAGACAAGCCTCAAACCTTAACATTCGGCGAGTTCAAGTTTCAGCCGTGTGCTGGAAAAGAGATGTCGAGTGATGTCGAGCATTTTGGCGACATAGGTTGAAAGCCGACAAAGTCTGTAAAAGCGTGTGTGAAAAATAATCAGAAGCCTTCCACACCACGGCGAGGCTTTGACAACAGATCCCCGAATTCCCGCCTACCCTCAACTTCGAATCCCCAAGTTTACACGCTGAAACTCTAAACCCGAAATTCCCTTGATGGAGCAGGGACGAAAGGGAGTTCAACCATGCACCTCAAACGCCCTTGAAAGAAAAGAACACCCTTCACACGAAAACTTCAACTCAAAGAAACGAGCTCTTCGAAGGAAGTTCTTGCCTGCTCTTCTAGGCCTCCTGAACACCTGCAAATCTATGGTAGAAGATCATCTTTAAAAGGGCGCATGAAAGGGCCTTAAGAACCTTGGGGGCCCCGAGCTCCGACGGCCGCGCTATGGCTGAGAAGGAGGAGCCTCTCCTTCAGCGAGGCGCCAGAAAGACGGATTGTAGGGCTATACTGTACTCATAATACGGAACCCCCAAAACGGTGTTGGTAATTATTGGTTAGGCGTGTTTGTTAAGGCATTTAGCGTTTAGAGGCTTACGGTTTAACTGTTTTGCTACGGTTTCATCTATCGTGGTCTTGGGGTTAAGGGATTGAGGGTGCTCGGGGTGTTGGATATTAAAGGATGGAAATTGTCTACACTGTGAGGGCTTTCAGATGACTGAGACGGTCGGCTCTGGAGGGTTGGCGTAAACTACTTTTGTGGCCCCTGCTTTCATAGATCCTTTCGCTTGCAGTGCCTGCGATGGTGTAAATTCGCAACAAACACCGAAAGAAGAACTCGGCATGTTTCAACACGAACTCTGAGACCTGAATTTCGTAGGTTTTCTGATGAAAAGTACGGGATGTTCCAGAAGTTCTTGCGCGATCCTTTTAAAGCTCCTGATCACGGGCCTCCCACTCAAATCTCAAGCCTACAAGCCACGGAAACTTCTAGAACAAACTCAAGAGTGCTGGGACCAAAACATCAACTTCTAAGCATCAAAGCCATATTCTCAATTCTTAACCCAAGAAGAAGCCGGAGACCGAAAGCCACGAAAGTCTCAGCTCCCAAAAGCCGCCAAGCAGCAAATGCTCACATACATGGAACCTTCATAGTATCTTCTTGAAGCCCTTGCAGACATCTGTACAAAGCTCACACAACCCAGCAAGGCCCGGCCCACATTGCGGCGCAACGCGGTGGCTTCGTGGCACTTCCATGAGCCTGGGGTTGAGGACTTCAGGGTGTAGGTGTTGGATAGACGGGTGTGGCCGCAAAGGGCCCAATCAAGTAAAAGTCCAGTAAAAGCGGTGCAGCCCTGTTGATGAATGACGGAATTTATGAATACATCTGTGGAAAGCTTTATGCTGCTGCCGCGGTTGTATGTGCGGTCCTCAGCCTGGTGATCCTAGATCACATCTGTACTGCTGGGGATATCCATCTTGGCAACACAAAGCGTGTATGCAAAAAAGGTCATGCATATCTCAACCCCCCGACGAAACCGGGATTTCCAACCTTGCATCCACCCTACAAGCCGCACCTTTAAATTTAAACGCTTTACATCCTCAGCATATGTAGGAGCAGAAACATGTGAACCCAAAAACGTCAGCTTTGAAAGAACAGAACTTCTCCCCAACCCTCCAAAGGCAAAGTCACAGCGAATCCCTGAAGCCCGTGCCAGCTTTGAGGTTGAAATGTTGACATGCTGTGAAGGTGATGTGGCTACATTATCCACCCTCGGCGATGCTGAACTTGAGCAGGCAAGCCGCGATGGAACTAGCGGGTTTCGGGTATGCAAAACATGGCTGAACCTGCGGAGTCCAACCTTCAAATCGCAGGCATTAAATCCTTGCTTGGGCCTTGAGCCGATAAAGCCCTGAGTGCTATAAGCCAAAAAACCCCGAGGCACTGTACCCAGAATCTCTAAAGAGCTAAACCTGCAAACCTGAAGCCCTCAAGCCAGCAGTCGTAAACTTCAAAACCACGCCAAAAACCACTGAGCCCCGCACTTCCCATCCCTCAACCCCTAAACCCAACGAGTTGAATCTCAAGCCTATGCCCAGACATCCTAAAGGATCAAAAACTGCAACTCGCAAAACGTTCCATCCAAATCGATGCAAATGGTAGGTGTGAAACTAACCTGTTTTGCAGCGCGTACAGTGTGTGTATCTAGCGTTTTGTACAGTCGCAGACGTTCCCCTCTACCGCAGGGGCCCCTTGGACCAAGCCTACGGCTTTGCGGAAAAGTGACTAGTCTTCGCACTGGTAGCGGAGCTCTCGGTTAAGAGAACCAGAGCTCGTAGCCCAATAGTACGCCCCCTGCGCGGGCGTGTGGTCGCCATGGCTAGTGGATCGCTGGCATATCGACCACACCAGGATCTGGACACAGACCTGACGAAGTTTGGCTTCCTAGTCTATGCCGGAACCGTTCGTGACTTTCACGAGTGGGAGTTCCGAGCTGTGACAAGGTGGAAGCAGACCAAGGTTGAGGAGAGATCCGACCTTGCGTCCAAGTTCCTCGACTCCTTAAGGAGCGAGGCATACATTGTCGCAGAAGATTTGGGTACCGACGTTCTGTTCTCGAGTCAGAACATCCCCAAGGTGATCGAGGCAGTTAGAGAACGCCTGTTCCCTCTGGCGGAACAAGAGACGAAAGAACTTTATCGGTTAGGGACCCAAGTCGGCGGCATGTTGTCACGACAGCCGGGAGAGCCGATGATCTCCTACATCGACCGCCGCAAGCGGTGGCTACGCAAGCTTCAGCAATTAGACAAGGCCCTTCACATAAGTGAAGCGGTGCTGACAGATCTGTTGCTGGACAACAGCGGGCTCACCCGGCAAGAGCGACTCATGGTGCTGACCTCGATGTCAGGCAGCACAGCGACGAAGGATGCTGAAGCATCGCTGATTCGCATGCATAATCGTATCCATACGTTGGAACGAAAGCAGCCATCCGCCAAAGGCGGAACTGGCAAAGGGAAAGGTTTCCACAGGAAGGGAGACCGAGGAAAAGGTAAAGGATACGGAAAGAGATCCCAGAAAGGGACTGCGTACACGTACCTTTCGGCCGTGGAAGACCTTTTCGAGTACCCTGACGCCGAGGAAGACGACGACGGAACAGCCTACCTGGCAGGCCAAGAGGACCAGGACGGCCAGGACGGGGATGGACAGGACTGGGCGTACCACGGAGAGGAGCTCCCCGTGTACGACAAGGAAGAGGACACCGCGTGTGTTGCCCAGTCGGCCGACGCTTCCCTAAGGGACGTCGAGCTTGATGTCTTCACTGCCTTTATAGGCGCTGGGTTCGATGAGGAAGACAAAGAGGCTTTGGCGTTTCTCGCAGACACCGTGCAGTGCGAGACCGTTGCCTTTATGGCGCGGGCCAAGGCTAAGGGTAAAGGAAAGTCTGTGATGCAGAGGAGTGCACATGGATATCGGCCGCGATCTACCGGTCTCACTGTTGAAGACAGGAGACGGAAGCTTCATGAGATTAAACTCAGGAGCACGTGCAAAACGTGTGGCAGAAAGGGCCACTGGGCTGGTGACAAGGAATGCCCAGGCCCAGGGAAAGGTGCAGGAAAGCCCGCAGTGGCACACCTTGCCCAGGTCAGGCGTGTGATGGATAAATCCACACAGACCTGCGACTTCATCGCTAGCCCCAGCGAGAGCGACAGCGAGAGTCAAAGCTTTGACCCGGAGCCAACGGCGAACTACGTTAGCTTGGGTCAGGACTCTGAGACGGAGCCTGCGGCGTACATGGGTTTCTTCGACAGGACTGACTTTGAAGAGTCCGACGAAGAGCTCCTGGACGACTTTGCGTCGCAAGGCGCTCCCTCCACGGAATGGGATACCATAGAGTACCCTGACGGCAGCGACCAGGTGTTTCGGTTCGGGATGCATAGGGGTAGCACCTACCTTGAGGTTTTGCAGAACCACCCCGATTACTACCATTGGGGCCTCAAGGAGAAAGAGCCGAGCACCATGCTAGAAGCATGGCTTGTCTGGGTGTATCGCAACTTTGAGGTTCCACCGGTTGGCGGTGGAAGGGCGACACTTAGGGCAGCCACGTTGCCGGTGGAGGCCGACTCGCTGCAGAAGGCTAGGAAGGAGGTGACCCTTGAGAAGGCACCTAAGAGCAAGCTCGGGTTGTTGAAGCCGGATCCCAAAGGACCGTGCGTTGGAGGCTGTCCCGCACATGCATTGAACAAAGCAGGGAGCAATGCGCACGTAATCAAGACCACTTGCATGTTGTGCGGTAACAGGACCTCAAACCCGAGACCAAAGGCTGTACCGAAGAATGACCCCCTCACGTGCGAGCACAAGCGCACGGACAACAGGAACAGCACGAGATCGGTACACCGCACCTTTTGCCTTGATTGTTGCACTGTGGTAGAGGAAATCCCGCAGAAGCTCTTTAAGGAGCAGAAGGGACGCCGAGCAGGTGCAGCAGTCTCCACTCAAGGTGCAGAACCTCACGAGGAGACAGCTGGAGGAGTACAACTTTACGAAGTTTGAGGCAGGTGAGGTGGTAAAGAAGTTCTTCAAGCACATGGACAAGTTTTTGTTGAAAGTTGACCAAGTCAGTTCAACCGAGTTGTCTAGTTGCCTTGAGGATGCGATGGTCCAGGTTGTAGAGCAGACGAAGTTACGCATGCAACATGGTAGGGCCGCTGATGTAGCTAGGTCTAGTCAGGACGTAGAGCCCCCACCTTTGCCTGCGTTTTCCCCCAGTACGTAGAGAGCGTAGGAGTGCACAGCCTCGTGAGCAAGCTTCGCCCGCCGCCGCAGCAGCAGCTGGCCCGAGAGAGAGAGGAGCAGCTGTTAGGGACGCCATGGCGGCGTCTCCTCCCAGCGGAAAGGGCTGGGGAAGCCGCGAAAAGTTCGCCGGCGTGGCGACGGCGGAGAAGAGTGGTGATCCCGAAGGGGACACCAAGCTGACCCTCACAGCCTTGGTGGGGCAGCTGCAGCGAGATGATCTCGAAGGAGACATCAGCCCGAAGAGCGTGCAGAGCTCAGACAGTGAGCCTGCACCCCTGGACGAGGAGATTGCTGAGCCGCAACTCCAGCTCGTGGATCCCTTAGAGGACCACGAAAACGTCTGGGTGATGCTGGACGAGGGCTGCAACCAGACATGCCACGGGACGAAATGGAGGGCTCACTCCTCAAAGGTCCTGGCCAAGTTTGGGTTGCGGTTCACCAGCGTGCGCTCGAGCGGCACGAGCTTCAAGGGCATTGGAGCGGCTCGAGCGACGGGCAAGTTCGCAATGCCGTTCGCCCTCCGCATCATGCCGGAGAGCGGAGGCCTTCGCCGGAGCACTCGTCTGCAGGGAGAGCTCTCCAGCGTGGAGCTGGACTCTCCGGACGTGCTCTGCCTCCTGTCCTTGCAGGATCAGGTTCAGCTTGGCCTGATCAAGGACCTGAGGCACGGCGAGTGCCGAATCTCGGGATACGCCGGGACACTGCAGTTGGCGAGGCACTCGAAGACCGGCCTCCTCCTCCTGTGCGTGAGCCAGTTTGGGGCGAACGTTACAGAGAGGCACAGAAAGTTTGCAGTGAATCCGGAGGTGATCCCTAAGAGGACATCTAAGAAGGAGAAGAACACTTTCTCGATCCCTTTGAGGGACGGGACGGCACGCAAGAAAGAAACCTTGATCCCTTCAGGGGACAAGCACGGCGTACATGCTGTCCGAGATGGTGAAGGAGACCGAAGGGCAGCGGAAGAACGTTTTGGTGGTCACGTTGGGCTTGGAGAAGCTAGAGACCTGCCAACGTGGGCGCGGCACCTACCGTGGACTCACGGAACTTATCCGTGGTATGCGAAAGGGGCAGTCGCACGAGTTCTCGCTGAACAACGAGGCCCACGAGGACACGCTTCTGGAAAGCCTGCGCCAGAACTTTGAGTCCTTCCGGGACTACGCCACGGAGCAGATCCTTTTTCTGGACTGCCGGCACATGAACGACCCGGGCAAGGACAAGTCCCTCAGGGACCACTTAGGCACGTACCCCAAGAACGTGCAAGCCATGGTTTTGGATCCAAAGACGAATGGAAAATGGGTGGCGTTCATGAAGGAGGTCGTGCCGGCCGTGCACAAGCTCATCCAGGAGAACGAGCAGTGCGTGATCTTTATGTTTTGCAAATCGGGAAGACACAGGTCTGTCTCGAATGCAAAGATCATGTACGATCTCATAAAGGAGACGTACGAAGTGGAAGCGAGTCTACTTCACCTTTGCGACGGCTACAACTGGCGATATCTATGCGGTGGTTGCGCGGAGTGCAACTGGGAGTCCAAGGAGGCTCGAAGCACCGCAGAGAAGGTGATGGACTTCGCAAGGGAGCGCTGGTACGAGTTCGTGCCCAAGGTGTGGGTGCGAAAGGATGGCCAGCGCCGCCTGGGCGACGATGGCGTCGTGGTGGAAGAGCCGATCCCTTCGGGGACAGCTCAGGCAGCGGGCGCGGGATCAAGCAGTGACCCGCCGCAGCCTGACTCGGCTGTCAAGCAAGAGGCCGCTCAGGACGAGCAGCTCGAAGACGAGGACCACGACGAGGGCGACACCACTGGGGCAGCCGAGGCCAGTGCCAGTTCGAAGGCACCGGCGCAGCCTTTCACGGTGGAGACCCCAGACGGTGTGTCGGTGCCAGTCCACGACCTGCGACCCGAGCTGGAAGGATTAGATGACAAGTCCCTTGAAAAGGTAAGTTTTCTTTTTCTTTCTAGGGTTTATAGTGTCTTCAACCCAGCGAAGCTTACGGAAGTCACTACGCTGGTCGCCAAGTACGTGGACCACACCTCGCTCACCTGCGCCGTTGCCGTGAAGTACTTAGACTACGAGGCGGCGAAGGCACTTTTGTCGTCGCTGGTGGCTGACGTCCGATCCGGAAAGCGGACGGAGAAAGAGTGGGACACTGACCTGGAGCTGGCTAACCGGAGCCTGGACCAGGCGATCCTCCAGCTGGACGAGGACAAGGCCGCGGCACAACCTGGCGCAACCACAGCTGGAAGGACGACCGCTCAAGCGGCGGACCCACCGCAAAGAGAAAGGACCCGATCGGCACAGGCCGACGGGCGAGGAGAGAAAGGAAAAGGTGAGAAGGGAAAGGGAAAAGGCCGAGGAGACAAGGGACGCTGGCCGAACAACAACCCTCGAGGCCCGAGGACTCATACCGAGTCCAACCCTGCCTCGACTTCTCACGCAGAGACGCGCCACGACCTGGCAAGTCTGGGGGAAAACCCGGACAACCCGGGAAGCCTCTCGGGGGGTTACTTGAGCCAAGTGATCTCAGGACACAAGAGGCACGGTGAAGTTGCCTTCAAAACTTGGTTACAGCCAGGCGTGGGTCACGAAGGAGCCGGACCGCCGGTTCGTGTGTCCTATAGGGCACACGCTGCAAACTCCTGGGATAAGGTCCCGACGGAGTTGCAGCGCTACCGCAAACACGTGGCGATCCAATGGACGTCCGATGGGCCCTGGGAGTGGCGCGAGACCAACGTGGCCGCTCACTCATGGGTTTACTTCGGCGACCGTTGGGACCAGCACCCGCGCCACATGTTGGTGTTCTTGGTCCCGCCACGCGGTGGCAGTGCCTTCTACGTTGGAGGCATGCTTCCGGATCTCATGGCTTCCGACCTGAAAGTGATGAAGAAGGAGACCGGAAAGATGTTTGAGGATTCTTGCAAGAACCTCAACACGCACGACGACCTGCTGATGCAGGCCTTGGGGCTCCCGTCGGTGGCGATCACGGGCGAGCCGCCCACGATCTACGCCCTGGCGAACTCGGAGTTCCAGCCCGGATCCCTTGAGAGGACCGGCGCCAAGGTGATCGTGCGACACCCTGGCTACCGTATGATCCTTCTGGACGACATCGGTTGGCAGAAGCAAATCTCTAAAGAGATTGCTAAGATCCGTCCCGACCTCCTGCTGTTGGTGTACAGTTTGGAAGACCAGGTAGGTCTCACCCCGCAGGTACAGACCTGGCTCCAGTCCCTCTCCGCGTACACAAAAGAAGTGCTTGTTCTTGACAGTTTAGGCAGTGTTAGGTGGAACCTGTGGTTTGAGAACAGTGTCGAGGGTACTGAGAGAGAGTTTCAGCTGTTTCAGTGTAGGGGTGACCTGTGTGTAGGGACGTTTTCGCAGGCGATAGGTGAAGTCATGTCTAGTTGGGCGAACTGTGACCATGACATACACTATTCACCTGTGAGCATCGACACAGTAGGCACGCAAGTTGGTTTTGCCGAAACCTTGTTGCTTGTGTTGCAAGAGGGCTGTGTAGAGGACCACGTTGCTGAAGCGTTTCCTGTTGAGGCAAGGCAGGATGAGGTCGAGGAATCTGGTACTCTAGATGCTATAGTGGATCCCAGAGACAATAGGACCGCTTTCATGGATGATCTGGAACTCGCCGAGGAAGCAGACATCTTAGACACGTTGCCTTTAGCAGGGTTTCCGAAGGAAGAGTCCGAGAGGAGAAAGGCATGGTCTAAGGTACCAAGGCGTGTTCGCTTGGGGATCAGGAGGTTGCACACCATGATGAACCACAAGCCTAAGGAAGTGCTAGTTCAGGTACTTCGTGGGGCAGGTGCTTCTGAAGAGTTGGTGAATGCAGCTAAGATCTTCAAGTGTGAGTCTTGCAGGGTTAGCGAAGAGAAGGTTCGCACACACCCTGTGTCAGCTCCACCACCTTACGAGTTCAACCACACAGTTTCGGTGGACGTGCTGGAGACTGCAGACTCAACAGGCGCAAAGTTTAGCTGGCTGAACATTATAGATGTCGGCACAAGCTATCAAGTTGTGACCTTGGTCCGCGTTGGTGGCGGACAGCCGAGCTCGGCCAAGTGCTTGCAGAAGTTCATGCAGCACTGGGTTTCCCCTTTTGGGTGGCCAAAGGTGGTTTCCCACGACCGTGGTTTACACAACCGGGGCGCTTTCGCTCACGGCTTGGGTAGCCATGGAGTCCAGATCCGCCAAGCCGGACTGGAATCGCCTGAGCACATAGGGAAGTGCGAAAGGCATGGAGGCATCATAAAGCGAGCCTTTAAGCGTTTGGTCAAGGACCACAACGTTGTGGGCAAAGATGATGTCAAGGTGGCGATGCTCGAGGCGCAGGTCGCAAAGAACGAGTTCATGCGTGTTGGAGGCTTCAGCCCCACCCAGTGGGTGCTTGGACGCCTGCCCAGAGGAGTGGGCCACGTTTTGGACGAGGAAGAGCTAGGACAGCTTGGAGTCTTGTCGGGCAGGTTAGATGCCACGACTGCGTTCGGCCGCCAGGCCGAATTCCGCCATACTGCCAGAAAGGCATTCGTCCATGAGGATTGCAGTCGCAGGGTACGAAAGACCGTGTTGCGCAAGGCGGCTCCCCTGCCGGGGAAATACCAAGCTGGCGATCTAGTTTGCTATAGGATCGCGCGAGATGAGCATTCAGGCGTTAGTACGTGGTCGACTGTTAGTAAAATAATCGGCTTCGATAACAAAACGGTCTGGGTGGTGCATCAGGGCGTGCCTGTGGCGACCAGCTTGGCGCGACTCAGACCGTGCACATCGGCTGAGGTTCTAGCGTTCCAAGTGTTGAACCGTGGCAACATACAGTACGAGCACGCGGAGGTTGAACGCGAGCAGCAAAGGTACATTGATGCCACCGGGGATGATCTATTGCTAGACGACCCAGAAGAGCCGGACGGAGGAATTGGGATAGGTACTCCGATCCAAATGGACGCCGAAGCAGATCCTCCGGAGACTGCGGCCGCTGCTCCAGAACGAGCTGTTCGAAGGAGAGTTGGAGCAACACGTGAAGAGTCACGGGCCGTGACTGTGGAGGAGCCAGAGGACGAACAGGTGGACCCTCCAGGAGGGATCCAAGAGCCGATGGCTGAGGACACGGCGGTGGACGCCGATGGTGAGGCCGAGGCCACGGAAGGCAGCTCAGCGCTCCTTTTGAGGGCTTACGCTAGCCACTTCTGGACGAAAGAGGAAAGAACCGTTTGGAACTCACTCCCCGGGGAGAAGGAGTACGAGGCCTTACGGGTTTTCTTCGCAGACCGCGTCGAGGACGACAAGAAAGTGACGCAGTGGCGCAAGCGCCGCAAGAACTTTACGTCCAAGAAGCAGAAGGAGAAGCACGGGAAGATCCTAATGTACCACAAGTGCCCTGAGGATGTCCAGAAGGAGTTGGACAAGAGTAGAGCAAAGGAATGGGCAAAGTGGCAGGACTTCAGTGCTGCGATCATTCTTGATGACGCTCAGTATGATGAGTTGATCCGTGAAGGACATCAAGTCATACCTACCCAATGGGTAGAGCTGGACAAGAACCACAACAAGAGGTTACTTGATCCTACTGTGGAGGCCAACTACAAGAGTAGATTGGTTGTTCGGGGTGATCTTGAGAAGGGTGATCCTAGGAGTGATAGCCCTACTGCTAGCATAGAAGCTCAGAACTTAGTGTTTTCGTTCGCTGCTTCTAGGAAGGTCAAGATTAAGTCCCTGGACGTGACCAACGCCTACTTTCAAGGCGAGGAGATAGATAGAGTACTTCTACTATCTCAGCCCAAGGGAGGACTCCCTGGGCTCAAGCCCCGCCAGCACATGCTGGCGAGAGCACCCATCTACGGCAGCACCGATGGTGGTAGACGGTTTTGGAAGCGGCTTAGGAATTACCTTAAGGGTAAAGGACTTCGCGAAAGCCGCATCTACCGCGCGTTGTACAGTTACACCGACGCCGATGGGGTTGTACAGTTGCTCTTGACGTCCCACGTAGACGACCTATTGTGGGCTTGTGATCCGTCATGCGATTGGATCATGAACGATCTCATTGAGACGTTCAAATGTGGGAAGGTTGAGACCGGGAGCTTCAGGTACTGCGGGAAAGAGATAAGCCAAGACGAGGATTTCAATATCCATGTGACCTGCAGCGAGACAACGAGGAACGTGAACAAGATTCACGTCGACAAGAGGAGGCACCCGGGAGATCCCTTAACGGACTCTGACAAGACGCAGATGAAGAGCGTCGCTGGTTCCCTTGCTTGGGTTTGCAGACAATGCCGACCCGACTTAAGCTATAGGGTATCCAAGATCCAGTCGGCTTCTAGCAATGGTACCGTCGCTGACATCAGAGATGCAAACAAAGCGGTCGAGTACGCTATTAGCACATACGACAGAGGACTTGTTTTCAAGTCTGGGCTGTTGGACTGGAAGACACCAGGGGCTCTTTTGAGTCTGGTGATCACGGACGCTTCTCACGCGAATGAGTCCGAAGAGATGATCATAAACGAGATGACATCTGTGGAAGGACACCGGAGCCAAGGTGCAAGGATGGTGTTTCTTACAGACGGCGCCCTGTGGAAAGGGAACAAAGGTAGCATTCATCCCATCTTGTGGGCGAGCAACCTCGTTCGGAGGGTATGTCGCTCCACCATACAGGCAGAGGCCTACACACTTCAGGCAGGTGTGGAGGACGGTGACGTGCTGAGAGCAGCTGTCACTGACATCTTCGGATGCCTCGATATGAAAAGGTGGGAGGCTACGTCGGCCAAGTTTGTGAAACGGATCTGGATGACAGACTGCACGAGTCTGGAACTGACGCTTTCGAATCCGAAATGCAATAAGCATTCGGACAAGAGATTGAGCATCGAGATCGCGTCTCTCAGACAGGAGCTATGGCGCAAAGCTGGCGAGAAAGCAGGAGATCCGTTTTACGACGACTACAAGCCAGTGGATGATCAGTTAACTGACATCGTCAGATGGATAGACACTGACGTGATGATCGCTGATCTGTTGACGAAGGTCATGGAGCCGGTCAAGTTGGTTGAAGCCCTGAAGACCAACACACTCGACGTGTCGTGAAGAAGCGCGCCAAGCAGCTTCAGAGGAGGTCGACGAAGAAAGAACAGGACAACGAGCAAGACCGTTGATCCTTGAGCACGAAGTCTCACCACACTGACGCTGTAAGAGTCACGGGTGTGAAACTAACCTGTTTTGCAGCGCGTACAGTGTGTGTATCTAGCGTTTTGTACAGTCGCAGACGTTCCCCTCTACCGCAGGGGCCCCTTGGACCAAGCCTACGGCTTTGCGGAAAAGTGACTAGTCTTCGCAGTAGGATCCCTTTCTGGGTTTTCTGTTTCGCATCCTTTGCGGTTGTGGGGCCAATGATGAACTCGCGATAACTCACGAAGCAAAAAGACACCCAAACATGAGCTTCTGGGTGCAAGTTCACAAAACCGTGAGTCGACTTGAAAAAAGTCTTCCCGGGTATCAAAACCTTACGGGTTTGTGTTGAAATTTTGTGGGCCCCCAGGAGTTTTGCGGTGCCAAAGCTTTGCACCTGGCTGCTGCGGCGAATCAGCTGCGGGCCCTCGACTTTCTGGTGTCCCGAAAGAAGGACCTCGTGTTGAGGGAATCATCCGCGACAATGGGTTCAGAGGGGATTTTTTGCTGCTTATCTTTCACCGATTTCGAGGTCGTGGAGTTCAAGAGTTTAGGGGATGCTGCTGCTCGTAGAAAAAGGTTTAGATTTTTGGGGATGAACATACCCCAGCCGCGCGGCTTCTTGTTGGACGGCATGTTGCTTCTGCCGAAAGCAAGCCAAAACCCTAAGACCTGACCTCGAAATCTGAAGCCAGTGTCATGTATCCTAGCCTCCTAGCTGCAGCAGTTGTCGCTGACTAACTGCGCTGGGGAAGCCCTGTGCTCAAGCCCTCAACTCCGAGATCTTAACTCCGGAGCGTCCCATCAGCCGTAGCACCAGGGTTAAAGAGCTTGTGGTCTGCTGGTTCACCATTAGGGTTTACGAGCCTTGAGCCTTGTGGCTTCGAGAGGGTCTAGCATCTAGGGTTGAATTTGGATGCGCCAGTACTTGTGCGAGGACAGCATCAACGAGAAGGATGACCAAGGCGACTGTCACCAAAGCCTAAGCTGTGCGCACTGCACCGTGAACCCGACAGCCGATAGCCTTAAGCTCAAATCCGAAACTCCAATACTCTAACCCTAGACCCCCAAGCATGTAAAAAAAGCTTGAAACACACTCCCCCCCAATTCCCTTCACGGTTTGGAGTTTGCCCCTCCAGCCTCAGAAATAGATGCAGCAAGCTCTGCTGAAAAGAGCGAAGGTTACAGCGTAAGGGTTCGAGAAAAGTATAAGCATTGGACATGTACAACTTAGAGCCCCTTGGACTGACATTTCAAGTTCTTTGGGGCTGAATCCATGGCACGACCGCCCGGAGGCCGCGTGCCTTTGATCCACGCGGTGGTGGGGCGTGCTGCTGAGGCGTGTGCTTGCGCGGGAAGATTGACTTAAAGACAACGGTCTAAATGCAGTTTGGAGATGTTGAATGGGCCCTTTTTAAGGAGGCTTAACGGGATGGAGATGAGGGATAAAGGATGTTGAAAGCAGTAGACTGTGGAAGTAAAAACGTCTCGCGTCTTGGAGTTGACGAGACGCAGATTGATGGCAGCAGTCGCAGACGTGAGACGCGAATCCTAATAAAGAGTCTTGATAAATTCATAGTACTGCAGCTTCCTCAGTCTAATTCCTGAAGATCCTGCGGTGCTGAACCCTGGAGGCCATCGTTTGGCTTGTTCGACGTGGAGCCGACCTGCAGTCCCCCAGTGACAGAACTGTGGGGCAATCATGTCCTTATCAGGGTAGCTTATCAAGGCTTATGCTTCGCTAGGTATTCATATCGGGGTGTTTGCCGCTGAGCGAGAAGGGCAAGATGATGAGATGAGGATGACAAATTCCGCTTCTGCTGATGCTGTTACGGATGCGTCCTCGGCCGCCCCATCTTGCAGGTCAGGATGATGGCAGTGGCGACGATGCTGGAGTCATGGTGCTAGTAGCTATGGCTGTTGTGATGCTGGTCACAGCGCGATGACTAGGAGGATGAAGATGCTGATTAGCATCTATCGGCGGCAGTCGCAGTGGTGAGTTCGTCTTTCAGCCGACTGCAATTTGGAGGATTTGAGCATCCCCGTGCGAGAAGCGAGAAGCCGCACCCCTTCAACCACGCGCTCAGAGAGCTTCCGAAAACCTCTGAGATCATACAGCCAGCACCTAGACCCTAAAACTGCTTCATCTGAACCCCGACGAAGCCTCAGCACACAAGCGACCTCAAGCCAGACCTGGGGTTGGGGGGACCCTGCAAGATGCAGCGTTGTCTTGATGCTCTAAGAATCTACATGCAGAGTTCCTAGGGCTAATCCTCTAATCATTTCCTGTGCATAAGTAGCCAAGTTTGTGGACTTTCGAATGAAGCCGCAGAAACCGTCGAAAACTCTCCGGACGCCTTTTGAACAAAAGTCCGATGACGCAGACGCAGAACAACGTCAAGTTCGGAACCCCCTTGAACCCCAAAGCGTAAAACCTTAAACCCCAAACTCCCAAAACAAGCCCTTGAGAGCCGTTCCGAGGGCTTGCGACGCTTTTGGCCGCAGCTCCCTGCACTGGGCCGCAGTGATCGGGTCCTCCTCGAAGCTTTGCTGGCTTAGGGTTTTGGGTTGAGGCAGGGCTTCAGGCGGGTTTAGGGTTTCGGGCTCACGTATCGAGGGTTGTGGGCTTTTTTGGGTTGAGAGTTTGCGGTTTTAATGGGGTTGGGAGATGGTGTGTTCAAGGCTTAGAGGCGGTTCGCCAAGGTTTCCAGAAACTTAACCCTTCGTCGCCATCTCTGGAGATCGGAGTGAAGATATTCCCAACACGCAAACAAAACTTCATTGTAAGCTGTCGATGTTTGGAAATTCTCAACTCAAGTGCGACAAGATGCGGGCTTGAATAGGGTGTCGTTTTTGTTACTCCCGGCAAAACCACCTCCAATACTGTGTGGTCCTATTGCGTAAGTCTCGGCCTAGCTCCCCAAACCTTGAAGCATCCTAAACCCTGCATTGGAACCCTTTAGTATGATCCCTGACTCGAAGAATCCTTGCAGAAAGGAACGCTCAAAACCTTCCGTTAGCTTGGACAGCATGGGCGGACGGAGAGAGGTGCTTAAAGAACCACTTAAACCTTACTGTAAGGAGCTCTGTAAGCGAAGACATGAGGTCTGTGGCCGTGCTGCGCACGCTGGGTGCGCCGCTGGCTGCTCGCGATGGCTCTGGTGACACAGCCCTCGGCCCCTGGGCCCTTTTTGGAAGGGGGTTTTTGGGGGTTCTTGAAGCTAGTAGCAAGCGGATCTGATTTAGGTAGTGTGGTGGTGTTACAGGCTTTCGGATTCTGGATAGGCATCGGGGGTTTTGTGTTCTGACTTTAGGGGTGCCTTGCGTCGCAGGGGTCCTCGTCATAAGGATCCTCCTGTTATGAAGGTTTACACTAGGGTCCTGAGTTGTGAAACTTCTTTGTGTAACGGGAGGAATTTTTGAGTTTGACGGTGTCGGATTCACGGTTTAGGCTTAGCGTTTGGGTGTTTCTTTTGGGGATTCTTCGGCGTGGATGTCGTGAATGTCCTGAGCTGAATGAAAACAGCTGGCTCTCAACTCCGGCAAACACCGCAATCTGGTTTGTCGCGGTATGATAAAAGGCTGAATTTTTGAAATACTATGCATTAAGGCTTCTGATGTATATGCAAATACGCGCCAAACTATTCAATTTGAGACGCCCCCGTATTACATGAGACGTTGTCAGACGTAATTGTTCTTTACTGCAGGACTCCGGTGCGTTCGATGGGATTGTCTTCAGAAGCTCATCGCAGCAGGGAGCAGTGAGCAAGTCATAGGGTGAGCCCGAAGGGCGCTTATATAAATATCCGTGTGTCTGATTTGGGATCGAACCAAGGATGAAAACGCATGCCTAATCCAGAGCATTCCCCGTGGTTTCACACTGCAGACGTAAATTTGACGAGCCATCATAGAGGTGATATCACCACTGAGATCCTAGTCTTTGCTGAGTCCATAGGCTGCGAATGCATCAGCCATTGCCGGTGTTCAGCAAGTTTGCTCCATTTTCGGCCTGGTTCGACAGTATGTTCCCTGAACCCTAAACCGCAGTTAAGGAGCTGCAGGTTTGATTGAGCTACAGGGCCTTCTTGCTGTCATACCGCCGAGAGATCTTTAGTATGACTGACCTTGCAAGTATCATTCTCATTAGTCTAGCTCTAGCACACTTTCGGCACAAAGCCCCTGATTCCGTCTTGCTTGGTCTATTAGTTCTAGGTTGTTGATCGATCCAAATCTCAGCATTGCTTTATGCGAATCCTTGCCGTTCATACTGTTACTGGGATGTACCAACCATGGCCTCTGTCCTAGAAGGGTCCCTGGCGATTGCACTAAGTAGTACAAGGTTGTGAAACCTGGATTCCAAGAGATCAAGGTACTGTCGGAGCCAGGGCAAAGGAATCCAATTTTCGCTCCCTGACCCTCGCCATGGAGCCGACAGCGACCGTACTGGGACAGAGCGAAACCCTCGACGATAGCGATAGCACCGGCCCCCAAGACTCGGTGCCACTGGAAAGGTCCAGCTTCTGTTCACAGGAAAGTGAGGAAAGTCTCGTCCAGGTACAGTTTGAAGGAGAGCGGTCCAGCTCTTCAGTCAAAGATGAGGCACTGGCCGATGCAGAAGCTTCAGCAGAGTGGATAGCAGAGATCATCTCGAAGATGGAGCCCACCCGGCCTGAGGCCGTCCGGGCCACTCGTGTCCAGAATGTACTTCACGGCCTGGCAAGGCCACTGAGAGCTCATGGTGATTTCTATCATCTGAGCCAAAGCACAACTCGTTTGCATGCATTTTGGTCCCACAGCTGGCATGGTTCTGTTTCAGGAAAGGTGGCCACTTTGTTCTTCCTCCACAAAGCCGGAGCCGCCGCCACGGCAGGCACTGGAGCAGCGGTCGTTGCTTGCATTGCTTTCGGATGGGGCGCGCTTCCGGATGATGGCGGATACAGCTGGTGGTGCTTGAGCGTTGGATGCCTCGGCTATTTGCTAACAATGCTATTTTGGCGGCCGCAGCAGTTGATATTTGTCGACCGTGTATGCATCTCTCAAGCTGATCCTGAACTGCAAGCGGAGGGCACCTTCAGCCTAGGGGCCATAGTAAAACGTGCCGATACCATGCTGGTGCTTTGGGATCCGTCTTGGGCTCGTCGCCTGTGGTGTGTTTACGAGCTGGCCGCATTCATTCGCAGCAGGTCCCCAGGCGAGAAGCCATGCATCATCATCCGGCCAACCATGCTTGGATTCGTCATGTGTGCATGCTGGCTTGCGTCTGCGCTTGGAGGTTTCGCTTTCCATTTCACTAACCACACGATGGGATTGGATTATTCTAGCGGCCGCAACGAGGTCATCATGCAGTTCATCGCGATTGCTTTCTGCGGAATAATTTTCTGGTTCATTGCCCACCTTGTCCGTGAGTACTGCCGTGATGTTACCACCATGTGCCAGCATATCGGACACTTCCGTGTTGCAACGGCAGAAAGCTTTTGCTGCTTTGTAAAGCACAGAAGACCCGGTGCCGACGAGCCCATGATGTGCGACCGAGAGGTGATGCTAAAATGCATAAATATCTGGTTTGGTGGCGTGGACGCTTTTGAACAGCATGTTCAAACCGATTTGTGTGATTTGCTGGTGGATCAGCTTTCCAACCACATGGTTTCATACTGGCGTTTAGCCGAGGCCTCTCCTGTATTTTTGTGGTTTCATCTTGATGTAGTGGCACATCACCTGTGGTATTTCACGCATTTCGCAGAGGATGGAGCATTTCCCACGGGAATCCTGAAGCTTCTCGTGGGCCTGTCTTACTGGCTAGGGGTGGTTCCTATGCTGTTCCGGATAATGTTTCGCTTGGCTTGGGCCATGCAGGCCAGATGTCGATGTCGACTACTGGATTACTTTAAGTCCTTGCTCCTCCTCTTGCCAGGAATCTCTATCTTCGGTGGCTTCGTCTTTCTCCACTTCTTCCTTTCCTGGCACCTTCCGTATGATTTGGGTTCGCTCATTTTCGCACTCATAACAAGTCCTCTGGCAGCACTGGTCTGGCGAAGCCTGCCAGTACCTCTGCCACAGCAGAACAGGAGACTAGCAAGAGAACACGCTGAGTCGTAAAAAGCTGGCTGCAAAAGGTGCTATTTTTGAAGAAGGGGTCGTGGTCTGCCGTGGAGTTGTTCGACAGGACTGGCGGTAAGGGGCGCCCAACTGGAAGTGGTGGAGCCTCTTGGCTGCAGCCCGGTGCCCGAGTCGAGGGCCCATGCCTCGAGGTTGGGGTGTAAGGGTTTTTTTGGGGTGTGGGGGGTTCGGCCATGTTCGGCTGCGACAGGGCTCCGAAAGGGTTATCCTATTCAACTTCACCCAGGTTCTTTGCGCACACCTCCCGCAAATTTGAGCACCTGGAGCCCCATTAAACTTTTTCATTGCCTGCTTACAACAACCTGAACCCAAAAGGACTATGAACATCCTCGCACTCTAACATCGCGCAACCCCCATATCCTGGCACCCAACAGCCGATATGCTTACTAAGCCTTAAGCCTCTACGTAGGGTGTCCGTATCCGGCCATTGCCTGGCCTCGGGGAAGATCTACGGTATATTCCTTTACTATTGTGCATAACGTGCAATGATAAATCTGTGGTTCACTCAGGTGCCGCTTGACTCCTTGTTTTTTTTTGGTTTTAGGTACTTTGAGCTCTGCTCCCTCTTCAAACGAGCCTCTGAAGAACTACGTCTTGCTAGCAGAGCCCGTGCAAGTGAGAGCTTCGGCTGTTTTGAGCAGGCTTGATCCACTATCTATTCCCGTTTCCTGGCCAGGGAACTCAACACAGACATTCGCGACATATCGAAGTGCGGTTTTGGGGGGGGGCTTCGGACGAATTTGAAGGTACCTGGTGCTGACTGTCGGCATTACTCCGGATGAGCAGTCAGAGGTGCAGTGGAGGGCAGTTGCCGCCAAAGCGTAAACCTCTCTAGCAAGGAGCATAGTCCTTCAATTGCTGTGGGGATGCTTCCATGGGGTGCTTTTCCCGTCAGGGATGATTGCAGCCGTCTCTGATTATGATTGGCTGACTTGTGCTTGCCAAGTGTGCGCCCTGATCACCTGAAGGAACCTGAGCCTTGATCTCCTCGCAGGTGCTCAAGGACGTCTGCGACAAGACAATAATCTCCAAAACATTCTTCTAGCTATTCAGGCCGCCATATCACTTGCCTAGCTACTAAGTAGCAGTGATTGGTTCAGCAAAAGGTTGTTTTGTGAATCTCTTGTACTATCTAGCTAGCTGACTGACTTGCTAATTGTCTAACTAGCTTGTGTACCCTATGTGTAAACACCCTACCACAAACTCCAGAGGCTAAAACCTTCAAACATAAAAACACGGATCAGAGTCGATGAGAGCGATGCATGTGCATGTGGCGATCTGCAGGCCCTTACCTGCCTGCAGCCGTCGCCCTGCCGATTCTGGCTGAGGCGGTGCCTGGAGAGCAAGGCGCGCTCCCGTCGTTTTTTCGCAGTGATTTAATTTTCAGAGTTCCCCAAGTGTTTGAACTCGCTCAAGAGGGTTGAGGATTTTGAGGGTCTATTTGGCTTTTGTTGACTGCTCCAGCTTGTTTCTGAAGCTTTCTGGGTTCAGTCGTTTGCTTTGACTTGTTGCTGTCTCTTGTGGTTTGATCAGTTGGCAGGCCTGCAGCCATTTCCCTGAACGAAGCGAGGAAGGGTTCGAACTCTGAGAAGGCGGTTTCCTGCATTTTCAGGCATACTACTTTCTTACTTTAAAACTCTGCAGTCAGGCTTCACAAGCCGCCAGACCCTGACCAACCCAATCTCCGGAACACAAAAATTCACACATTTTCAACTGCCCTACACATGCGAAAGCCCGGGCCTTACCATGGATTTCAACTAAACCAACTAAACTCAGCTTATGGGCTTGAGATGGCTTAGGATTTGTGTGTGTGGGGTTTCGAGGTGATAAGGGCTTTCGGGTTTGTTGCGGGTTTTAGTGTGTTTCAGGGTCCAGGGTCTCTCAATAGTAAGTAGCAACGTTTGATGCAGCATAGGCCTAGGCAACCCCATGGGCAGGTAACCTTAAAGCCCTTAAACTCTGAACCCGAGATCCCTGCACCCTGAACTCCCTGAACCAGAAACCTCGCCCTACCAAAATCTTCCACTAGTGCCTATCAAAGCCCGCCCCTCTTATGCTAACCCTTAAAAGAGCCGTAGCTTAACAGCCCTTGTGTTAACCCTTAAAAGGCGAAAAGCCGAGCCCGCGCCCAAGGTTGGTTGCCACGAGCCACTCGGCGGCGGCTTCCTGGACCCTCGTTTGGGCTGCGGCCTCCCTTTGGAGGCGGCCCCGGACGTTTCCGTTAATGGGTTATTAATACAGCGAAACGGTGTGGGATGCGACAATTTTCGGCACATCGGCTTGCATGAAAAGCATGAAACACGAAACCGTCACGACAGTGCCACGGCACTGAACAAGTTTTGGTGCTGAAATCTGATGGTTATCCCGAATCCTATTAGGTGCACCGGCCTGGATACAACGAAACCGTCACCAAGATCTGGTGGCGCTCATTGGCGCTCAACCTTTCTGGGTGCACCTTCGGACGCAACGAAACTGTCACAAATTTCGCGGTAGCAAGCCCTTTTGGGTGCACCAGGCGCCAGGTTGGACGCAACGAAGCTGTCACCAGCATCTTGTAATCTTGTGATGGTAGGCCCTCTTGGGTGGCGCCAGTTCCGATGCAACTGAACTGTCATGAACATCTCTGGGCAGTCAAGCCCTCGTGGGTGGCGCCAGCCTGTGCGCCTCGAAACTGTCACAAAATTATCGTGGTAGTAAGTCGGCAAAATGCAACGAAACCGTCACGAAAATCCCGTGGTAGGAAGCCCTTAGACCCGGCTCGGATTGTTGGCGCCAGTTTGGATGCAACGAAGGAAATGGGCGGGTTCCAACCGGCTAAGCAAGTGCAAGCCTGGCGGTTTTGGGTGATATTCTCAATGTCCAAAGGGGGCTCCTTTGTTTTCTGAGACTCCGTTTGAAGTAATGGGCTGTTTCGGCGATATTTAATTTGCCTGTTTGCTCCAAACCCATAGGAAGCCCGTGCATCAGCATCCAGCATGTAATCGTGTTTCGCCTAAAACTGAAACTCCGCCAAACTCTTGTGAAACCCTGTACAACCCTTGGTCCTATGCATTCAGTCTCTGGGTCTTTACGCTTGCCTCTCTCCCGTAGGCCCGGTTCTGGCGGGGCCCGGAGCAGATCCACGTAGAGCCACGGCAGGTGCTGAGGGGGTTCCTTACGTCAGGGTATCTTTAGAACAGGGATTCTAGCATTTAGGATCGAATCGTTTTCTTCCTGAAGCTCCCGCATCGCAATAGGAAGAAAGTTACAGGCACAAGGCGGTGGGGTTCATGATCATGTAGAGGGCTCAGTTTTCGAGCTTGGAGGCAGCAAAAATAAGAGTCCCCGAAATCCCCTCCTGGCTGTTTTTCGGGGCTGTGGGTGACCCACGGCCGATTTCTGGCGTTTGGGCGAAGTTTTCTAGACCTTGATTTCCTGACATCACGCCCTGTAAACTTTATCAGGAGCCACAGGATCAATAAATTCGGGGAGGGGCCCTGACACTGAGCGTACATATCTCCACATAGAGTCCTCTATCCCAAGTCCACTGTGAGCCCTAGAGAATTTGAAGTGGTCCTGGAAGAATCGACTCCGCAGGTCCCGCAAAGCCCGAAGCCAAAAAGTTGAATCACAGCAGGTAGAATGCCAAGCAGTTATATGCTACCCATGGGACCAGTCCTTGCAGGATAATCGACTGTGACGATACAAGCGTCGTAGCCGAACAGCATCGTTAGTTGTTGTGACGCCGTTTACCTTACCAGCCCCAAGCCCTATCGCCTAAACCTTATCCATGCGTACCCCCGACTCATGGCTTGCGGCTCCTGATTTAGATGAAATACAACCCCGCGGCTAAAGGCCAGTAGAGCAGAAGCAAACCGGCCAACAGCAACATCCAACACGCAATGCCGACTTAATCCATAAGTAGCGCTAAGACCGACAACGCCAAATACCTACACCCGTTATCCTCAACCCTCCCTCTAGCTATCAAAACCCCAAACCTTACAAAGCCATCCCTCAACTCCAAACAAACAAGGTCGCAGGATTCAGTGGCGCGGAGTCCAGACCACCCGCGCGAACTTGCTGAACCCACAAACTACACAAGCCCCCGAATTCCTGAGCCTTTAGGGCCCATGAACCCTCAATGCTACAGTCCAAATTAAGGCGTAAAAAGGCACAAGCTACATCCCTGTGATTTCACCATCCTCGGGGGTTCCTAGGGTCATTCCAGAGGCCTGCATCCTTTGTGGTGTCCTGGCGCTGATCGGAGCTTGGGTATTGCTAAGGCACCTCGTCTTTCGACTTGAGTTCGGGGCTTTTGAGGAGTTCACAGGGCTTCGTTAATTCTTTAAAGGGGGAAGCATACGCGTGCCACAGGGGCTGTTGTGGGTTGTACGAGTTTTGCAAGGGAATGGTGACCTGAGCGGGATTGCCATAAAGGTTTGTTTCTGGGGTGAAGAACCTTTGAAGGAATCGTTTCAGGAACTCTTGAGGCCACTCTTCATGGAATCCTTTCACTTACCGTTTGGGCCCATGACTCAGAGTTGGGGACTGATGGTGCGGGTTTGTGTAAAGTATCAAAAATAATTGGGCTTCAGAACTGGAGGTAATACTCCGTGCTCCAAAATCCCAGTCTAACCATGGAGGCCCCTGTTTTAGTTGAGGATTGTGGCACTGCAGGATTGATGTTGAGTGGACAGACTTCCTTGTATTCAGCAGTGCCGGCACGGTGGTGACTGCTTGAGGGTTTCAGGGTCTTGTCTTGTGCATGTTTGCGCCGCAAAAGCCAAGCAGAAGCACGAAGCTGTAAACCGTAAACCCCCAACCTCAAACACCCTGCATCCCCCTGAACTCCCAAAGCACAGTGCCTGAATTCTACTTCCTGAAACCCCCAAAGTCGGCAAACCGTTCAACGCATGCCGCAAGATTTTGGGATTGAGTGTTTGCCAGAACAAGCGCCCAGAGGGAAGAATGGACAGCAAGGGAAGTTCGACCCTAAATCCATATGCCCTAGGCCACGATCTCTAGAGCCCTATTCCCAAAAGCCATAGATCCGAAGAGCTCTAAACCCGAAAGCCCCAGAGCTTAAAGTTCTTAAAGTGCATCTCGTTTTTACAACCCGCAGAAGCCGTAAACCTTAAAGCACCCCCAATCCCTAAACCCAAGACCGAAGCCCAGGTCCAGGCATCGCCCAAACCCTTAACTGGAACACCCTTGCAGCCTCAAAGTTCTAGAACCCCGTAGCCATGTTTCTTTTGCCGACCTGAAGCCCTGATATGAGTCGGCCCAAATCCGGGACCTCTTCGGGGGTTGGGGCGTGTGGGGCTCCTAGGTTTTAGGGTAATTTCGCAAAGACTCCATTACAAAACTTCGGAATGATAAGCCCCTTACATTCCTCATACAAGCATGCTGCGCTATACCCCAGAACCTATTTTGAAGACCTTGGAACATCCTCATGCTGGTGCAAAGGAGCGATGGCGGCGCTGAGCTGGACAGCGCCGGCCGCCTTGCAGTGGTGGCCTCCCTCGTGTCGACTTGCATAGGCAATGACAGAGATTCTGTGGGTTGAGGAAGTCTTTGTGGTGTTTAGTTTGTAGGGTGCTTTTGTGATTTTTTGGGGGCTTAGAGGGATTTTGGAAGCTTTAGGAGGTGTTCGAGAGGCAGGTATGTGCCACGGAGACCGTAGAGTCAAGACACCCGACGTGTATTGTGGAGTGTAGGGTTCGCGCTGTGACATTTGGCGGAGGATCTTCTGTGGGGTTTGATGGTGGCACGTGGATAGTATTCTGTTTGGGATGCGGGAGCTTTCGTGCGGCGATGGGTTTGGGATTTCCTAGAGTTTAGGAATTTACGAGTTTGGGGTTAAGGTTTTGGCATTTGGAGGAAGTCAGGGTTCGGGATGAAAGAGCGAGGGGACGTTTGCAGCATTTTAGGTTGCATGTGGTTGTGAGTTTGGGGGTCTCTGACCTAGGTTGGGGGACAGTTACGGTTTGATTTCTCGGTTGGGGTTCAGGCTCATCTAGAGAAGCCTCCAGAATTTAATATGGGGCTCTCGTGCAATCCCGATTGTGGCGATGCTATAGCACACATGCCTCCAAATCTAACACGTACGGTGAGCCCCTGATTCAATCCCAAAACCTGAACCCCAAGCCTAATTGGCATGATTGAACACATCCGCTTCTCTGTTCCATGACCCGGCACGTGACTCTGTCGGCTTCACGTCGCATGAAATTGCATTGAATCGCCAAAGCCCCAAACCCCTAAACTCAATCCACCCAAGATCCCAAAACCCAAGAAGAGTTCCATCGATAAGCCCTCAAGCTCCCAACAACTTGAAACCCCAGCACCCTACATCAAGTACAACTTTGCTCCCAACTCTAAACCACCCCCTGAACCTGAACCCAAGTAGCCTCGAGTTGCTACGCCGCATAGCCCTTGAATCCTCCATTTGGACTCCCAAAACCCGACACCAACCAAGCTTGGGAGGTTCTGTTTGTTTTGTGGCAGCGGCCCGGCGTTGCCCCGGCAGTGTGACCCCATCTCCAGAGCGACGGGCCAGGTGAGACGAGGGAGGGTTTTGGCCTCAGGATCGAAGGTTTGGGAATTACAAGTAGCAGCGCAGAGAAACTCTCAGATTCCTGGATGGCACCGCTGTCCAAATAGGGTTTAAGTTTAAGGGTTTTTTGGCGTCGCCATCAAAGCTGAAGATTTGAACCTAAGTCGGTCGACGAGCTGGGACCTAACTACCAAGTTACCACAACCTCCTAGATCCGAAGTCCTTAAACCCTACCTACAACCATAAAACTAAACCCATGTAAGTTTCAAGGCATGGCCCACGATTCAGTGATCCAGGCCTCATATGTCATAGAAGCCGACTTTAAACCCCAAAACCCTAAAGAGCCCAGAGCCCATGAAGTCTAGAGCCGCAAAAAATTAGCGCCCTACACCCTCCAAGCTGGCTAAGCCCCCAACACTACGCCTTGAACCAGGCCCTAGGTGAAAGCCTTAGTGCTGGGATCCGCCACCCAATGGCCGCCTAGTCAGGTTCCTAAATAGTACGAGTTGACCCTTTGTATAAGGGACACCCGGGCAGGGACCCCAAATTCAAAGATGCCCGAAAAGGTATCGCGAGGCCTTGGACCACGCAGCAGTCGCGCGGCAGTGGACGGTTTAACGCGCACTTCCGATCATTGCTATTACTGAAGTTTGCAATTGCAGGTGTAGGATTCAGGGCTCCGGGTTTGAGGAATGTTAAGATGGGGTTGACTGTTCCCGAGCCAGCTGTTGTTATTCTTGCTGTCTTGGCTTCCGTTGCCCCAAACCCCTAAGCTGTCGGAGCAAGATCCTAGAGCACAAAGCCTTGAACCCTGAACCTTACACACCCCAAACCTTAATCCCAAACCTTCACCCCCATGCGCAGAACCTTAGACCCTCAACTCCAAACCCCAGGCTGTGCGGGCTGCTGACCCGGACTCCTCCGAGTTTTGCTGGTGGGGCACCAGGCGCAGGGTGCTTTAAGGGTTTGGGGTTAGGGGCCACGGGATCAGGATGATTGGGGCTGCAACACCAGTGTTCAAAACCACCAAAACCAGCCTGCACAGCCCGACATAGAACTCTATACGAGCCCAAGGGCCCCTTCCCCTCTACCCGCACCCCTACACCCTAAAGCGCTTGTTGAAAAGCTTTCGGAGGGCACCGATGCACCACGAGCTGGAGATGCTGGGCCCAGAGAGGTCCAAGTACTGCTCCTTGACGTAGAGTTTTGAAAGGGTTTTTGCAGGGTTTGATACCATGCTTGCTTTTGCCAGTGGTGGTTTCGTGTTTTGTTTGTGGATGTTTGTGGTTTGGCTAGGGCTTTAAAGGGCGCACAGGGTTCCACAACGGTTTTAGAGCGTGGTTTTAGAGTTTAGAGTTTACGGCCCAGGCTATGGTTTAAGGACACGGTTCAATTTGAGAATTTGATGATGCTTAGAGCGTGGTTTTAGGGTTTAGAGTTTACGGCCCAGGCTATGGTTTAAGGACATGGTTAATTCGAGCATCTGATGATGCCACGACTGCATCGTCCGGCACATCCTGCTTTGCGCTGAAGTCATATCACTTCACACATTGGATTCGTCCACCAGGTCCTCTTCACTTCAACACTCTGTCGAGTTTGGTCGCCGCCGTTAAGCAACCAACCAATCGAGTCAATTTCCAAATATCCAACGTAAGTAAGACCCAGACCCCCGGAAGGATCCAAAAAGTAGATCCCTTAATGGGGGGTTCCTGCAGAGTACCCTTAGTATAGGGCCCCAAATTAGGGGATCTACTTTCTAGATCCTCCCGGGGGTCTGGGGAATGCAAGGTCGTGCAAAGCGTCAGCCATGTTGAGTTTGCACTAAGGGACCTTCGTTCATCTTGCCCGTTGCGCCAATCGAGCAGCATCCTTCTAGCTCGACTTCTTGCATCATGAAGCTGGGAAGTGTACGAAAGCTGATGCACATTCTGGAAGGGAAACCAAGTAAGTTGTCAAAAAACAGATGTAACGACAGGCCCTCTTAACCTTTGATGAGGAACAAACTGAAAGAATCCAAGACACGTGCCTGATCAAGGCCTCAACTTCCAAGGCTTCTTCCGCTATTTTTGTTCGAACCAAGTCGTGTTAAGCTTGAAACCCAGATTCGGGTCTAAGGTTATTGGATAGCCAAAGGGCGTTTTGGAGGGCCCCAGCAGATTAGACTTGAAACCCACATCAGGGCCAAAAGTTTTTGAACAGCCCACACATGTTGGAAATGAAACCCAGATTCCGGCGAAGGGCTATTAGAGAGCCAAACGTGTTGAACTTGAAAACCAGATTCGGGCCAACGGTTGTTGGACAGCTAGACATGTTGGACTTGGACATCAGATTCGGGCCAACGGTTCCTGGAGAGCCAGACGTGTTCAACTTGAACACCAGATTCGGGCCAACGATTGCTGGAGAGGCAAACATCTTGAATGTGGAAACCAGAGTCGGGCCAACAGCCTTTGGAGAGCCAAAGGTGTTGAACTTGAACACCAGGTTCGGGCCAACGGTTGTTAGAGAGCCAAACGTGCTGAACTTGAAAACCAGATTCGGGTCAACGGTTTAGGGACAGGCGAACGTGTTTTTGAAAACCAGATTCAGGCCAACGGTGCTTGGAGAGCCAAACGTGTTGAACTTGAAACCAAGATTCGCGCCAATGTTTTTAGGACAGCTAAATGTGTAACCAAACATGTTGAGCTTGAAAACCAGATTCGGCCCAGCGTTTTTTATAGTCAAACGTTTTGAAATTGAACACCAGATTCGGGCCAAGGGTTTTTCGCAGAGCCAAACGTGTTGAACTTGGAAGCCAGACTCGGGCTAACAGTTGTTTGACAGCCAGACGTGTTGTACTTGAAAAGCAGATTCGGGCCCAACGGTAATTGAAGAGTCAAATGTGTTGAACTTGAAAACCAGGTTTCGGCCAGCGGCTTGTGCAGAGCCAAATGTGTTGATCTTGAACACCAGGTTCGGGCTAACGGTTTTTGCAGAGCCAAACGTGTTGAACTTGAAACCCAGATTCGGGCCAGCGGTTTTTCGAGAGCCAGGCGTGTCGATTTTGAACACCAGATTCGGGCCAACGGTTTTTGGAGAGCCAAAGGTGTCGAACTTGAAAACCAGATTCGGGCCAACGGTTTTTGGAGCGCCAAACGTGTTGAACTTCAAAACCTGTTTCGGGCCAATAATTGTTTCAAGAGAGCCAAAGGTGTTGAACTTCATATCCAGATTCGGGCCAACGGTTGTTGGACAGCCAATCGTGTCGGACTTGAAAATCAGATTCGGACCAACGGCTCTTGGAGAGCCAAATGTGTTGAACTTGAAAACCAGATATGGGCCAACGGTTGTTGGAGCGCCAAATGCAACGTTGAGACCCCGACTGTTCAGCTTGCATCCCGAACCTTACAATCTCACCCGCCCCAACCCTCAGCCGGCTTTGCAAAAAAAATCATAGGGGGTGACCTTGCCTGGGCCGAGGTACCACCACTCGGCAGTGCGTTCCCATATTCGACCACTACTGTGCCTTCCTTCGACTCTTGCGATCAAATACGATTTCGGATAAATGCAAACCCTACACTCCCCGATCCAAGTCTGCATCGGTGCCAAACCTTGTTGATGCTTTGGATTCATGTTTCGGTGCTGATGCAGTCTCCGGCTATAATATTTAGTGTAATATGATATAATGGCCTTGATGAACTTATGAATTTGCGGGTTCCTTATTGTAACTATCGTAAAGGGCCCCCAAAACCCTACTCTAATTTTTGAGGCCCCTTTCTTGCACCTCCTTCGGAGCCGAGGAAACTCGATTGGACCAGGCACCTTCTCTCGTTTGAAACCAGGATCTAGGAAACTGTGGTTTTGAGCTTTGGCATTTCAGGTTTGGGATTTGCGGTTGGGGTTGAGGGGTGAGGAATTCAGGGCTTAGGGGCTTAGTTTGGGGTTCAAGGCTCGCAAAGTGCCTCAAGCAGCTGCATCGTTTTATTCGTTCCAACCTAAGATACCCCAAGCATCCCCAAGCCCTTCTTCTGATGCTTCTATGTTAAGAAGAAGAGGGTGCACATACCATACTGGGACCCCGAAATCTGACGCTTGAAAGCTGTAAGCTTCGAGGCCGGCATGCACAACTGGTACCGAGTCCAAGCACAACAGTTACAAAGCCTGCCGACCGCCTAGTGAATCGAAGCCGATAGCTAGTAGTTGCGGGCTTGAAAGTGTCTGCGATTTTGTCTTCCCCAGTTTCAGGGTCTTAGGTTCAGGCCTTTATGGGGTGAGAGACCAGGCTCTCAAATTTCAACGGCATGTGCTTCTCGAAATTTTCGGTTTCGAGATTTCGGACTTCACTGGTTTGGAAGTTACAAATCTGCTTTGGGCCTACCTTTTAAATCTTTATACCGTTGCGAGTTTCATCTACGAGCCTCTCTGATTACTGGTTGACATGCTTTTGCATTGGCTTCGCATAAGGTACGCAAGACTATTGGAGGGGCTGCTGGGGTACTGTTCTCCAATGTTTCGGATTTGGAGTCTAGGTTGAGTAGCACGTTCATGTTTACCTGGGGCTTGACACGGGCTGGGGGCTCTACCCCACAGAGTCCAACATAAACATAAGAAGCCTGAGTTTCAAGCTCTAAAGTGCCAAGTTGGCAGCCGAGGCTCGCGGAAGCCAAAAGCCCATAAAGGCCTCATAACCCTCCAGGCCGCATCTTCTATGCTACAGCTTCCGAGGCAACTACGCGGCCTTTTTTGCCGCCATGCTTTGCGCAGCTACGACCTGTTTAGCGCTTGCGTGGGCCTTCTGGAGGCTTCAGCGAAGCAGAGACGGATCCGTGAGATAAGAGCTATCAGGAATGGCATGGTGAAGTTTCCTAACCGCCTTGCTAAAACCCTAAACCCGAAGGCCCGGAACCCTACCTCCGATTACGAATGCTCCAAGCTTGGATTGCGCAGGGTCGCTGCTTGGCATCCTTGGCTTTGCAAAGGCGTGCAACTGGTGGGAAGAACAACACCGGAAGTTTCTGAAAGTGTTTGGAGTTTAGGGAACTGGGGTTGATAGTTTCGGGCTTTTCTTGCTCATAGCCTTGTCGAGTTCATACGTATATTTGCGCTTGTTTTCTGTTCTGGCAGGTAGAACAGAGATTTTAAATAAGATTGGGTGGTCAGGGTATCCAGAAGAAAGGTCTTCAGCTGCAGGATGCTTTGGGTGTGGGGTTCAGAACTCAGGGGTGTTCTATTGATAAGAGGGATCCAAAGACTTACGGCTTCTGTTGGAGGGTCGCGGCCAGCCAGGATTCGGGGTGCAGTTCGTAGAACTGAGGCATTGGGCGTCAGGTGAAGATCTCAGGGTTTGGCGACAAGGCACAGCCCAGACCCTATAACTCTGAACCCCGCAGCCACAAAAAAAAGCAGCAAACTTTCAAAACCTTCAAGCCTCGAAGACCCTCACACATCTACAAAACCTGTTGCGCGCCCTACGATCAATAATCAGGAACCCTACCTCAAACCCATGTTAAAGATCCTTGCAGGAGCTGCTTTTTTCTTTGCCCTCGTGGCGCTGCCGCTCCTGGGGATGCTGGGCTTCCAGCGACTCGCCTCAAGCGGCTTGCAGGGCTCAGGGCATCGTAGTTAGGATTTGGGTTTAGGCTTTCAGGGCCTTCTTTGGCATTTTTGGGGTCAGAGTTTTGGGATTTCGGGTAGAGCAACCAGGGTTGAGATTGAAGGTCTTGGCGCTGTGGGTTCCGAGTTATCAGGTTATTGGTTCACTGTTAGTCTGAAACTGGTTGGCGAGTTTATATAAATAGATATAGTTATATGTGTATATATATACATATGCATACATATATATGTATGTATATGTATATATGTGCGTATATGTATATATATATATATATATATACACGGAAGATATGTGTCTTATATGCGTAGTGAGAATGAAATTCTAACATTTTCGCTATTGGAAAGAATCTCCAGGGCTTCTATGTATGAAATAGGGCTCCAGGTTAAGGTTTGTGTCTTTAGAGGCTGTGGGGGATTTGACATGTTGGGGAGTGTGGGGGTATCAGCGTTTAGGTATAATATAGCTCGTTGTTGGAGTTCCGGCGAAAATTTTAAACCGCAATCGAGCTTGGAGTTAGAGGTCCTTACGGATGCTCGACCCAAGACAAGGAGGCAACCGAAATACCAAGCCAAGCGTCGAAAAAGCCAAGCGTCAGAGCTCTATATAGATGACAGGGGCAGTTGGGGTTACGTGCCTTCATGGACCAGCAAAGAAGCACTCAGCTTCGGGGGATGAGGGACGTTGCAAGCCGCAGTTCATCTGCCCAAATCGCCGCAGAGGGGTACGTGTCATGCAACTTCAGTATAGAGGATCTAGGGCTTAGGGGCCCAGGGATTAAGTTTAAGGCTTTGCGGCTTAGCGGCTTGGCTTCTGGCTCAGCATCGGGCGGAAAGCCACGCAGTGTCTTTGCGATGACCTACATGCAGCAAAACATTACTTGAGGAATTTCCTGAACCATGACAACAGGCCCTCTGTGTAGTTCAGGGTATACTCTTTACTGAGGCGCCACCTTCACATAAGCTCTACTGGACTCTACAAGTTGGTTTACGTTTAGGTTATGGCCTCCGAAGGCCCCGCCTCTCAGCCTTGTCAATTCCCAGCCTCCCAGCCCCACCTTCCAAATCCCAGCCTCCCAGGCTGGAACCTGCAGGGTCGAATGCTCGTCAACTCCTTGTAATAAGGCAGCTACAGCCATAATCACGCATAGGCCCCGATGCCAACGTTCCGCTTCAAGTCCCCTGATCCTCCCTTGGTTTCCGTCCCGCTGCCCGAGATGCGCTCTGGCTTCCTACGGCGTGACCACCTGGGAAATGCTGCAGATGGTCAAGGGGAGGCTCGGGAAGTCGGGTTGCGTGACTTTCGGGGCTTGCGGCTCACGCTTTAGACCTTTGGGTTTAGGGTTAGCAGCCGCTGTCTTTGCCGACGGTGGGGTTGCAGAAGTTTTATCTTGTGATGCAACAGTGAGCTCTGTGTGTGTGGGGCGCGCACACCACTCATCGCTACATAGCGGCCTTGGTCCTCCCAAACATATCTGCCTAAACCTCAAACCATGGAACCCTGAACCCCTAAACCTAAGACCACATGTGTGACTGGCCTCAAAGTAGCCACAGGCCGGTGCCATACTTGCTGGACGCGAAGGGCGACTACTGCAACTGGGGACTGACAAAAACGTTTGTAGGGTTTAGGGTTGTAGGGGTTCAGGGTTTACGGTTTCGGTTAAGGTGAGTACTTCGAGAGACTTAACCCTAAAGCCGACTCCCTGGACCTGGACGTCAAGCCCTCATGTTGAGTTCCTAAGAACCTTTCCTTTATGCTGTACTTTGGCGCCTCCAAGGGACCACAATTTAGAACAACCCACCGCGAATTCTATGACTACGTAGTGCAGCAATTGCTAGAGCCGTACACTTTGTCGATGCTCTCGGCTGATACTGTACGGAATCCGTGTACGAGGACAGCTCTACAACCCAACGTCCTAAACCCAAAACCTCTACTGTAGCACCAACCAGTCTTCCCAACCAGCTAAGTTTAATGTCTGACTAAAGACCAATAAAGGCTTCTGTCCGAAACCCCAGAACCCCAAACCTGTTTTCTGTGCTGGAGTTGAGGCAACCCTTACCACCGGGGCTTCCTCCGCAACCTGTTCGTTCGGCTCTCCGGGGACGTCGCCGACACCCCGGACGGTGCAGAGCAGGTCTGAGGCAGCACGGGTCAGGGTGATCGCTTCTGTGGCTCTTGGGAAAGAGATTTAAAAATCAAAACTATTTGCAAACTTGAAGATCAACCAGAAAGCCGAGTCAGCTGCTTCGCTTGACTAGCCGATGCTTGGATTTGTTGCTCAGTGTTCGCCATTGTGCCATTTGTTGGGGCAAGGCAAACAAAGAAGAGCTTTGAAAAACACACCACCTGTGAAAAGTTTTGAATATCACTCAACCAAAGGCTTTCAATAATAGCACTTAGCCCAGGTCTAAGATTTCACGGCGATTGAATTTTAGGCTTGTCGGGGACCGTGACGAGGAAATCACATTTTCTCGTGGTCGCATAGTTGATTGGGGTCCCTTTCGAAAGGGGCCCTTGGGTTAAAGGGCCATGATTTTTGTTGGGGATCCCTACAGCGAAAAGCAGCGGGTTGGCTAAGTAGTGTTTACTTTGCCCTGTAGCCGGAGCTTAAAAACCACGATGCCGGAATCCCAAGACCCAAACCATCCATCCGAACCTAGGCCCCGAAAAGTCACGAATGCAACGCAACGCCCTCGCTTAAGGCGGCAGTTCTCTGAACGAAAGCCGGCCTAGCCAAAAACCATAGTGTGTAAGTGACATGTAGTCCAAGACTACAGTGCTGACTACATCTCCTGATCCTACAAGTCGCGGTTGCGGGCCAAGGTTTCGAAGCCCTCAGTACCCCTTCGCACGAAGTTGTTGCAGCAAGTGTGGCAACTAGCTTTCTATACTTAAATGCGTTTGACTGGATTCGTCGGTGTTCGATTGCTTCTATAGGAACCTTATTAAGCGAATGCGTTGACAACGTTCATAAAACGAACCCAGGGGCCCTCAATATTTATTGACTGGACTGGAGCCTACAGGAATTGTCATATTATTGTAGCGGTCCGGAATAAAAACCCTTGTAAAGCTTGCGCAGAAAATCATAATCGATGCCAATCCCACGAGACCTTCGAACAAGACTTCTTCCAGATAATAATAAGATCATAAATTTAATATATTCTGATATATAGTGAAATTTTGAGTTGTCAGATTTTGGTGAATTGTTGTCCACAATAGGTAGCGTTGTCATATGATTCTATGGATTGGAGTCTATATCATATGATTCTATGGATTGGAGTCTATATATCTTTTCATATGGTTCTACAGATATGGTTCTATAGATTGACGTCTATATATGTGACATAATTTGCTGGGAAGTTTTCGTACGAAGACCTTGCCTTTATAAATCTTCA